TTTTGGGGAAATATCCTTGATAGCATAATCGACTAATCAACTATTATCCTGTCCTCGTATCCCAGCTCCTATCCTGTCCTCATATCCTACCTGTCCTGTCCTCATATCTATCCTGTTCCGTCCTCTTGTCCCAGCTTCTGTCCTGTCCTCATATTCCACCTCGTATCCTGTCCTCATATCCCATTTCCTATCCTAACCTCAAACCCGTCCCAAGTGCTATATAGTCATATTGGCTTAGTGACAGCATTCACACCAGATTAGTGGCATTGGGGTACTGAGAGCCCGCCACTTCGATTAGAAAGGTGCGAAAGTGAGTGAGAGGCAGTGTGCTTGGTGAGAAAGCGGGTGCGAGAATTTAGTGTGCGACAACAGTGCGCGTGTGTGACGATTGTGCGATATGTGCACGAAAACTCGACAGAGTAGTGTGAGAAAAGAGCGTACGAGAGAGTACAAAATGAGTGAGTGCGAGATGCGTGAGGCGAGTGTGAGTGTGTGTGTGTGGCAGAATGTATGAGAGGAGCGTGTGTGTGTCAGGTGAGTGCATGAGAGGAGTGTGTGTGTCAGTAGAGTGGGAAAGTGCGAGAGCAGTGTGTGTTAGACCATAGAGTGCAAAAGAGTGTGCGCGAGAGCAGAGTGCAAAGAGAGAGAGAGCACACGAGAGCAGGTGACCATAATCAGCTTAGCTGTGGTTATCAGGCGGGGAAATAAGCCAGCTGAACACCTTAATTGGATGAGGTATGCCTTTGACCGCACGCATGGCCGCCTCTGATAACTTGTAATGGGATAGCGTCCTCGTTGAGGGGGCGGAGGGGAGAGGGAAAGGGGGGGGGGAAGAGGGAGGGGCAGCGGAGTGAGGGAGAGCGGAATGAGTGAGAGTGAAGGGAAGATTGGAGTGAGGGAAAGGAAAGGGAGGAAGAGGAAGTGTGAGGGAAATATAGAGAAATAGAATCAGATGTGCATGAGGGGGAAGTGTTATGATTGGAAGAAGAGGTAAGAAAAGAGAGAGGGAGGGAGGGAGAGAGAGAAAGAGAGAGAGGGGGGTGTCAACAATCTACACACACAAAGCTAAACCCACACATTTAATATATCAAATCAAAAGTTTCAGAGAGCGAGGCGCCACCCACGGCTACACCACCAGGGTTCGAAGACGCTCGATTTAACCCAATGTACCACCTCCCACTCTCTTGTACTCACACTAGTACCTTGATGGTACCCTACTTATCCCCCCCTCCCTCTCCCTTCATACCCCCACCCCTACCTCACCCTCACTATCCATACCCCACCCCATCCGTTATCCATTTACTCTTTGTACCCCTCCCCTCCCCTCCCTCATCCTCCATTCCCCCACCCCTTCCCCTCACCCTCCTTTCCCCCCCCTCTCCCTGGTGGGGGGCGGAGGACATTTTAACAAGATAATATGAGCGGACACAACGCAGTCTTGACTAAGTGCCTCGTTGCCGGTAGTAATATGTGGTGGGGTAGGGGGAGGAGGAAGAGGGATGGAGGGGGTGGCGGTCGGGAGTGAGGGTGAGTGAGAGGAAGGGGGTAGGAGAGAGGGACTAAGAGTGAGAAATTGTACGAAGTAAAATGCAAGAATGAGGCAGACGAACAGTTTAAAAAAAATCTAAATAAGAGAGGGAGAATGAAAGAGTGTGTGAGAGAGAGAGTGAAAGAGAGAGATAGAGAGAGGGATAAGTAGAAGGAAATACAAAAAGTTCAAAGCGAGAGGAAAGGAACGTATTTCAAGAAAGCCCGAGTACCCACACCAGTGCCACCGAGTACCCACACCAGTGCCACCGAGTACCCACACCAGTGCCACCGAGTACCCACACCAGTGCCACCGAGTACCCACACCAGTGCCTCCGAGTACCCACACCAGTGCCTCCGAGTACCCACACCAGTGCCTCCGAGTACCCACACCAGTGCCTCCGAGTACCCACACCAGTGCCACCGAGTACCCACACCAGTGCCACCGAGTACCCACACCAGGGCCACCGAGTACCCACACCAGTGCCACCGAGTACCCACACACCAGTGCCACCGAGTACCCACACCAGTGCCACCCTGGCGATCGAACGCCCGACGCTCACATCCAATTATATAACCATCAACCACAGTAAATTTTTATGGTAACGCCGAGTCTGTCGCAGAGGGGGCGTCCTTGTGCTCGGGTTGGGTGGGGATGGGAAGGGGGGTGATGGAGGGAGGGTCGTTGGGGGAGGGGGAGAGATGAAAGTTTGGCATCACCTCTTACAAGATGTCATTAAGGTCCCCAGAACTCAATTAAAGACTGGTTGAACTTTGTCGATTCGTAACAAGAGTCATAATATAGCGGATAAGAACCCCATTTGCATGTAGAATAATTGTCTAATTTACTTTGAAGATTTATAGAGGCCTCAAGTGCTGTAAACTGCTGGATAGACTGTGTTGGAGGGACGTGTATGTTGGTGAGGGGTATTGTTGGGGGGAGGTGAAGGGTAGTGTTGGGGGGAGGTGAGGGGTATTGTTGGGGAGGGGTGAGGGGTATAGTTGGGGAGGGGTGAAGGGTATTGTTGGGAGGGGGTGTGGGGGGGGTATTGCTGGGGAGAAGTGAGAGATATTGTTGAGGAGGGGTGAGGGGTATTGTTGCAATTGTACAATGGAGTATTGTTGCAATTATACAATGGTGTATTGTTGCAAGTATATTGCATTGAACTGGACATAAACAGACCCTCACTTGAGCCGGGCTGTGCCACATCTTTCATGTTCAGTAAACATGACAGTAACGCAACCCAATCCAGGACGTTGCAGCCCGCCATGGACCGTTATCAAGTCGTGACACAGCAGGAGTGTAGAGAAAGTCAGTTTGATCACGAGGGAAGGTGTGGGGAGAGTGGAGAGGTAAAGCATAAACATAGAGTTAACCAAAGAATAAAGGAACTGCAGAAGAGATTTTTATTTCCCATACGAGACAGCTCCTTCCTATATCCACCCAAAGTTATATTCATGTCAAACCTACTCTTGAAGCAATCAAGCGATTCCTTGACTATTAAGTTCGTCATATCTGTTGCCGATTGAGCCACGTTGAACACAGTGTTGTTGAGTGTTGAATCATTCGTAATAATCACTACGATTCATCTCATCCAATATAATATTGTTCAACTATATTTCATAGTTCGTAATTATGTCGAACTGAACCAAAAGGCAAATGTGAGCATTATATTAGGGCAAATTACCTTGTATCAAACCTTAGGCCTATCAAGGCTTCTTCGTGCAATATCCGGTTCAAGCAGTACGTTCTGAACCCGCAACATTTCACACAGGAGTTACACATATCACATACATATATTACATATATATATATATATATATATATATATATATATATATATATATATATATATATATATATATATATATATATATATATATATATATATATATGTGTGTGTGTGTGTACATACAAAAGAATGGGGGTGGTAGGAGAAGATAATATTAGTGTTCAGTGAGAAACCACAAGGTCTCCTCTGAATACTTTTTATTTTCCTCTCCGAGGCTATGGGTCCCCACATTGGCACCAGAGGTGGTATCCTCACAAACTTTTATGTATATATATATATATTTATATATATATATATATATATATATATATATATATATATATATATATATATATATATATATATATATATATATATATTTTCACACATACGTATACTACGACGTATACTTAACCATATTTATTACTGTTATATATTATAAAATGTCCGTATTCTGTTTATTTGTCATGTCTTCATTATTCCCTCATTGTCCTCCCTCCCTCCCTCTCTTTCCTTCTCTCCTTCTCTCCCTCCCACTTCTCCACCTGACAACTCCATCAGGAAATCCGTGGAAAGAAAATATGAATGACGATGTGAATAGGAAATCAGAGGTACCATTCAGTAGAGTAATCAGAGCCCCCACAACATCTACCCAGAGGTGGTAATTATGAATATCTTCACCCATGCACACTGATAATTCCCCCTCCGGGTAATTATCGATAATTGGGGCAATTATTGGCTTTTGGTCAATTAATCAGAAGTCAATGCAGCTATGCCTATACCGTCGCTCCTTATCATAATATTCTCGCAGGAAATTTCGCCGCAAACCCGAGTAAAGTTTTAGCAAAATAAGCTTTATAAACCGGGTCATTAGAGGTCGTATTGGTGTGGCTGATTCTATGCCGATTTACAAACGAAAATTAAACCTTCGAGACAGACTCATTAAGGCTGTTAATAGCGTATCCGAACTCATGAAATAATAATAATAATAATAATAATAAAGTTCTTCGACTAGGACAATGAAAATGAGCTTCATAGACAGGGTCATTAAGGCTGGAAATTGCGTATCCCGCCACTCGTAATGTTACTAAAAATACAGCATTAGAAATTGAGTCTTATAGACAAAGTCATTAGAGGGGCTTATTGCTACGCGGTCACAAATTTGATAATAAATCAGCAGCTCAGACAAAATTAAGGAAAATAAACGTTATGAACGAGGTCATTAGAGGCGGCATTATTGTAACATAGTCAGTAATAATGATAAGAAGGTGCTTAAGCAAGCACAAGAAAATTACCATTATGTACTAGGTCATCAGAGGTGATTTTAGCTTGGCCCGAAATGCGTAACGACGTAGTTCGGGGAAAATGAAGCTTATAGAGAGTGTCATTAGGGCCGGTTATTGTGCACAACCCGCGGGTTACAACCCCCCAACAACCACCACAACCAGCGTCTCAACCTCCGACAACCACCCAACAGCCACCACAACCCCCCCCAAACAAGGTGTACAACCACCCTTGGTAATAACCACGAGGCTCACTGCTCCCGCCTCTAATGACCTCCACTTCAACTTTTGTCCTTATTGTCATTATTCCTTATTCTGTCTCGCCTTTTTTCCCCGCGTCATGTTTTCTTTTTCTCCGCTTGGGACCTTCTCCGTTTGGGACCTTCTCAGCTTGGGACCTTCTCAGCTTGGGACCTTCTCAGCTTGGGACCTTCTCCGGTTGGGACCTTCTCCGCTTGGGACCTTCTCCACTTGGGACCTTCTCCGCTTGGGACCTTCTCCACTTGGGACCTTCTCCACTTGGGACCTTCTCCGCTTGGGACCTTCTCCGCTTGGGACCTTCTCCGCTTGGGACCTTCTCCGCTTGGGACCTTCTCCACTTGGGACCTTCTCCGCTTGGGACCTTCTCCGCTTGGGACCTTCTCCGCTTGGGACCTTGGGACCTTGTCGGTGTATTTGTGTTTGGTTTGATAGTGGCTCTTTGGTACAGTGATAATGTAACTCTGAATGTCTTCATTTGTATGCCTGTCTGCACCATATGTTTCCACTTGTCAGATTGTGTTTGCCTATCTCTCCCTGTTAAGCTGTCTATTTGCTTCTGTTTATATATCTGTCTCTGCTCAGCTGCCTACAAACATTATGGCTCACAAACTTCCTCTCACAGAAACACGGACAAATTGTTTCAATCACAACACACCAAGTTTGTGTATATTTTATAACAGGGCAAAACGACACACACACACACACACACACACACACACACACACACACACACGCACACGCACACGCACACACACGCACACGCACACACACACGCACACGCACACGCACACGCACACTCACACTCACACAGGGTGTGGGGCCTCGAGGCCGAGTGGACAGCAATCGGAGGTCGTATTCCTAAGAGCCTGGGTTCGTTTCGCTGACGAAACAGATGCAAATGGGCAGTTTGTTTCACCTGACGCCACTGTTCACCTAACAGTACATAGGAACCTGGGTTTTAGGCAGCTGCTAAGGGCTATATCCTGGGGATGTGTGTGTGTGTGTGTGTGTGTGTGTGTGTGTGTTTTAGAGAGAAATATATGTAGTAGATATAATAGCGGAAAAGAGATATCGGTGTGAAAGGCAGGATCCAAGAGCTAATAGCTTGATTTTGCAAGTACCAATAGTAAATACACAAAGTATAAAAACCGTTTGTGTCACTGCCTGCCTTCACCAAACTTGCGATACGAATAGTTTGCGAGAGAGAGAGAGGGAGAGAGAGATGAGAAAACTCATTTAGCTCCATTATAGTCTTAGGCCAATATTACCGCCATTTTGACCGCCAATTTAATGTCGGAGTCTGGAATGGACCAATCAAATGCGTCGTCACAACCCCAGTAAATGGAGAAAGTTTTAATATCCAGAAACTCTCTTATGTCAAGATCGAATTTTTTCGCAGTAATAAAATTCTTAGGGAAAAAAACAAAAACAAAATGAGGCGGTTTAAAATTGTTGGTATGACTTTATTTTTTGTTTTTGTTTCATGATGGTAACGGTTGTGAACGTCCTGGTCATGACCACACTTTAAGGTGTCGTTCCTCATGTGGTGAAAGTGGACCAGTTTTTTGTTAACATGTTAAAGAGATGCGCAGGTTCTTTTTCCTTTGGTAACAGAGCTGGTCAGACTTTTTTTTTCATCCGACCAAAGCCCTAGCCAGAAACTTCTTAATCCGACCAAAGACCTAGCCAGAAACTTCTTAATCTGACCAAAGACCTAGCCAAAACTTCTTAATCTGACCAAAGACCTAGCCAAAACTTCTTAATCTGACCAAAGACCTAGCCAAAACTTCTTAATCTGACCAAAGACCTAGCCAAAACTTCTTAATCTGACCAAAGACCTAGCCAAAACTTCTTAATCCGACCAAAGACCTAGCCAGAAACTTTATCCGACCAAAGACCTAGCCAAAACTTCTTAATCCGACCAAAGACCTAGCCAGAAACTTTATCCGACCAAAGCCCTAGCCAAAACTTCTTAATCCGACCAAAGACCTAGCCAGAAACTCTTTATCCGACAAAAGACCTAGCCAAAACCTCTTTATGCGACCAAAGAACGACCAAGAATCTCTTCCCATTCCGGCCGAAGGAGAGACTAAGCTGATATCTTAAAGGCCAAACTCCTCCATTATCTTTTAATGAGCGCCTGAATATCTTGAGGGTCACCCCAAAGTTGGGGGCGTAAAGGTCTTATCACGCCAACATTAGGCGCGATTCCCCGCCATCCAAATGAGCCGAGTTTTGGAATATTCAAAGAATGCAAATTCCACCCCCCGGAACCCCTGGACCCGGACCCCTTCTTATCCGGCCAAAGTTTTTAATATCGGAGCGTTAATTACGAGGTAAAGGCTGGCAGGGGCTAATTTTGCCACTTTTTACGGCTGCGCCACTGACTAGATTTACATTTTAATGATTAGCAATGTTGTGTTTCTTATTAGGGCCTCCAGTCACTGCTGCTGTGTTCCCAGTCACTCCTTGGCTGCCAGTCACTGAACCCTGGCTTCCAGTCGCTGTTCTTGGACTCCCCCAATCACTGTTTTCGGGCCTCCAGCCTCCTCTCCTAGGTCTCTCTGGTGCTCCTTCTGCTCCCCCCACCCCCACCCCTCCCCAGTGGTGCTCCTTGCATCCCCCCCCCCAGTTACTACTCCTGGCCTCAGCTCCCAGTTACTGCTCCTGGCCTCCCACCTACCCCCCACAGTCGCTCCTTGGCTGCCATCTCGTCGTTCGCTTTAATTAAAATGAAGAAAAGGCGCAAATGAGAGTTATGTGTCGGTCAGGATGGGCGCTGTCAACCGGGCACTCTTTCGCTCGCCTCCACAACACAAAAGTTACACTGACGTGGCGGGCGCTGTTGCGCCTCCGGTGGTGCGCTCTACAACTTCATCTGATCCGTACCATAAAGTAAAATATGTTTTAAGGAAGTGCGCCCGGCATGACGTAAAGGCAGCGCTGCAGGGACTAAAGTGAGGTGTAGGGGAAAGTGTGCTCGGTTGACCCGTAAAGAATAAAATCCGAAATATATGGAAACAAAATAATTCTAATTATTGGAAATTCATTTTAAAATAACCTTATATACCAGATAAAACATTATTCATATTATCAAGGCAGGAAAATATATACACGCTAAATGTTAATATGAGCTTAGTATAGCCAGAAGAGGTCTATGATGGCAACAGTATAGCCCCTGGTGGTCGACGCGGACACTATTGGTGTAAACAGACCATCAGCTGGCGCAATCACCAGATGCAATCACCAGATGGATGTTGCCACTGCGGGTGCACTTGATATTTTCCGCTACGCTGGCTATCAAAGGGCATTAACCTGACATAGAGAATGTGAGTTACCTGTAACAGGTCTCCCTCCGGTGATGTGACACGAGTTAACAAAGAGATGTGTCGCACTTATCCAAGGATTCATTTTTCAAGAGCATATTCTATATAAGTAATATCGATATAAATTAGAATGCCTGTTTGAGGTTAGAGGACAGACGCTTCGGGCTAACCTCATCCAATTTTTAACAAGAATTGCTACTAATACATACCCAGTGTGGGTGGTTCAGAGTTGGTATAAATTTGATGAGTGCCACTTGACATGCTGCCAAAGCTACCCCCCTGTGAAGAATCTTGCAATATATTAATTGGGCTATTGATTTTTCTTCGTAGACTTTAAGACATTATGCACTAAAGTCCACGATTAAAAAAAATTCTGAACAGTCGTCCAGATGGTATCACAATATACGCCTGGAAGAGAGGCAAACAGCTGATGTGGGACTACACATGTGTATCCACCCCTACTGACAACTATATGTACTTTGGTGCTGATCAGGCATGTGGTGTGGCCAACCCCAGGGAAGTGGCATAATCAAACAAATACAGGTAACTGAAAAGTCAGTACACCTCTGTTCCGATAGCATCTGAGACCCCCTCTGCCCATGGGATAAGAGCTCCTTGAGCTTCCTCAAAGAATTAGGTTCCAGACACACAGAGAAATCACAATAACGTTATACATCAAATGAACATATCCACAAGGGCCCTGATGAAGGTTCTAACCTACGTCTGGGATGTTCCCTGATGCGCCTTAGTCAACTGTTCCACGACATGGTCAAAAGAATTGCAACCGGGAGTGCTACTGCCCTCACTTATTGAAGGGCGTAGAGGTAGAACATTTGGTTGACAGAGCCCGGCTGCATGGGAGAATTGCGTGAAACCCGATTGGGCTTCGGAGAAGCTTCGGGATCCTAGTGCGGGCAGTAGCACTCCAGGTTGCAATTCTTTTGATCATGTCGTGGCACAGTTGACTAAGGCGCATCTGGGAATATTCCGTGCGTAGATTCGAACCCTGATTATGGCCCTTGTGGATTATAATAATCTATATAATTTGTAATATAGATATTTAATATCTGTATTACATTAATGTCTAATATTAATAGATATTTAAATATCTAATAAAGCAAAATAGAACACAAAAAGAAGGGGGGTGGTAGGACAAAAGAACACGGAAACTGCAATAGAGGGGAACCAAACATCCCTTCTAATGCTTTGTGTGTGCTTTTTTCCGAGGCTATGGGTCCCCTTCTTCCTGCCAGAGGTGGTACCCCCAATATATAAAACTATATATTGTATGTATAAAATATGGACTGGTGATAGCTAGGGAGGAAGCGGGTTTCTAGGGTGTGTCCGTCACACCCACATATCCTGGCACCCCAATCCCGTCACATACGCCTATGTCCGGCCCTCGCCCCGCCCACATCACCCACCTGCTGGCCACCTGCACCTCCAAACTGGCCATAGGCAAGGCTCCCTTCCTCCCGTGTTGTTTTTCTCTCTGTAACGTGTTGGAGATATTTGCATGGTGTCTGCTAACTCGGAATACCGCCGCCTCTGCCCGCCCCTTGTTAATTCGATTTGATTTACCCCAACGCCATCTGTTGACTGAACGTGAAATTAAATTGAGGTGTGTTAGGCAGTAACACGCATAAACTGTCTGTTGTGTAAAATCCCTCTGCCTCCTCCCCATTCCTTCTCCCCCCCCCTGCTTCCAGCCCCTGCCTCCTCCCCCTGCCTCCTCCCCTTCCTCTTCCCCCTGTCTCGTCCCCTTCCTCCTCCCCCTCCTCGTGCTGGAAGACCAGGGGGTCACATCACTCCATTTTCGTGCCCTCCGTCATCGCTCTTTCATTTATTCTTCACCGCAGTTCACCTTTTCTTTTTGCACAATTCCGAGAGCCTTTTGCCGGCGGGTTGAGGATACGGTGGGTCGTTTCCAGCGCTTTACTACACGCTGGAAGTTGCTGGAAATAAAGTCCTACACAGTTCCAGGGGTGAGCGGTGCTGGCCTCTATAGAGCTGGAGGTCGGGAGACTGGAAGTGATCAACATGCATCGCGCACCTCTACAAAACAAAGGAAATTGTCAGAACTGTGTCGCTACGATCGTATATTACAGACGGCCAAAAACAGCCTCGTCTTCCTCCCTTAAAAACACAAGAATTTTCGCAGAATCCTTCCACTGGTTACAACGAAAAGCTGCCGCAGGCTGAACCAGCGTTGTCCTCTTCATTGGATAACAACGCTGTACTGACTGATGCAGTGTTGTTATCCACTGGAAAACAATAGCTTACGGAATTCCATCACCTACGCTATTTTATAGAAGCGGACGAAAGTCTTCTTAAATTACAATTAGACAAACTCCACCATCGATTTTTGTTTAGTTAATTGAAGCTGGTGCAAAATACAAACACTGGAAGAATTCTCTTATTTGGGTCATTTGCCAGAAGCTGTCATTGCGGGTCTTCATCTAAAGGGAATAGGTATTAACCAAATCAGCTTCACGGGGCCTGAGAGTCGGTTGATTGTTGTGGGCCAAATTGGAAGATGCTCTTCACGTTTTCCAAAGGCATCAAACAGTCCATTTTCTAAAAGCAGCTGGAGGAAAAGTAGAAAGAGGAAAAACAGCAGCAACAGCAAGTAGTACATGTAAAGTAAGGAAATTAATTATAAGGAAAAAGCACTAAACCATTACGACTATATAGCGCATGGAAGAAATGAGGATAAGGAGTTGGGAGAGGACGGAGGGAAGGAATGGTGCCCCAACTAGTTGGAGGGTCCGGGAATTGAACGCCGACCTGCAAAAAAGTGAGGCCGTCGTTCTACCGTCCATCTAAAGGGGGAGGGGTGCGCGTTGGGGGGATATCTCCACCCCGCACGCTTCACCAATGATGCCGAGTCGGGTTCAAGCCCAGGGTAAGGAAGGTCGACTGGTCGCTAATCCTTAACTTCGGCCATGTTCACTCAGCAGTAACTGAGGACCTGGTTGTAAACCGACTGTTGGCTTGAGTTCCAGGCATAAGACATAGGATGAGTTGTGGGAAGGGGAAAGTCTAGACCTATTAGCAAAATCAAAAGCCATATGCTCCTGTACCTTCCTATGTAAAAATGAAACAAATCACTATTATTTCTCTAGAAACACCCAACCACTTGGACTGGTCAGTACATCGTCGGCCTTGCCTTTTGCAGGTCGGCGTTCGATCCCCGTAGATCCATGTATTTGGGCACCGTTCCTTTCCTCCGTACTATCCCAAATCCTTGTCTTCATATCCCTTCCAAATGCCACCGCAGTCGGTTGTATATAGTGTTGTTAGTGGAGGACCTAGCACCTTCTAATAATCATTTTGATTCGTTTCTCAATGGTCAGGGGCGCAGTTGTGGGAGGAGAGGTGCTGCCGCCACAACTCTTGCCAAGTCTGGCGTAACTCACGTTATGATTCCCAACTTATTAAGACAGCAGGTGACATCTGTACCGAGCACTTACGCTACGATGTATACCGAGATTTACATCATTAATTCACGAGGGCTGAAAATGTATATTATCATGGTATACGAGGTGAATTTAATATTGGTTACAGTGTTCCGTCATGGAATGAGAGAAGAACGTTTTATATTGATAATTTTATGTGTGCGAGAGTGAGAGAGAGGGAGGGAGAGAGTGAAAGAAAGAGAGAGTATTTTCGCGATTATAATGCATTCAAGTCGGGCGAGTATAATTACGGACGCATGAAGGTTACAGAATGACTGATATATGCCAACATTTAAACTTGTATTATATACTACATCAACCAATAAACTGAGACAGAAGGAGACAGTGAGAAGGACAGACCAAGCAACCAACAAAGGGAAAAGATATCGGGACACCCAAATGCGGTCGTGATAAGTAATGTACTGCTAATGTATGTCGGGTGAAGAATGAGGGGGTGAAGGGTGAGGAATGAGGGAGGAGGGGTGAGGAATGAGGGAGGAGGGGTGAGGAATGAGGGGTGAGGGAGGGGTGAGGAATGAGAGGTGAGGAATGAGGGAGGAGGGGTGAGGAATGAGGGAGGAGTGAGGAATGAGGGAGGAGGGGTGAGGAATGAGGGAGGAGGGAGGAGTGAGGAATGAGGAAGGAGAGAGTGAGGAATGAGGGAGGAGGGGTGAGGAATGACGGATAAGAGGTGAGGCATGAGGCGGGGGTGGGGGGGGGTTTGGCATGGTGTGCAGAGTTGAGGGGGGGGGGGTGATGATGAGTAAAGTTGGAGGAGGTGGGGGAATAGAGTTGTGGATAGTTGGGGAGAGATGGTTAATGGGGGATAAACAGCTCCCAAGGCTCTCTCCCCCCTCTTCCTCGTCATAATCATTTTCATATTTATGTGTTCTGCCCGACAGTGGTGATAATTCCTCAAGAATTTG